GGGGAAATGTGATCAGAAAGTGTTTCTTGAAGGTAAGGAAAGGTTGTTTCATGAAACAAAACGTCTCGAGAAATAATGATTTTCTTGGACTCTAAATCATAGAGTTTATAGGCCTTTTGGCCTGGTGGATAGCCAATGAAAACAGTCTTAAAAGCCCTGGGATCAAATTTGGATTTGTATGTTAGAGTGTTAGTTGCGTAACTCAGGTAACCAAAAACTCGAATATGAGAGAGGTTCGGTGGTTTGGAATGAAGAAGTTCATAGGGAGTTTTCCAGTGCAACAGGGAGGAAGGGAGTCTATTGATGATATAGGTTGCCATAAGAACTGACTCCCCCCAAAATTTTGGTGGTAATCCTAATTGAAATAATAAGGAACTAGCAATTTGCAAGAGGTGTTTATGCTTTCTCTCTACTATACCATTTTGTTGAGGTGTATAGGGAGCAGATTTTTTGTGTAGGATCCCTAATTCAGAAAAAAAAAAAGACTGACAATCAGAACTAAGGAATTCAAGATCATTATCAGATTTGATGATCTTAACTGATTGTTCAAACTGATTGGTAATCATCTTTATAAAGGTGATAAGTATGGACGAAGTTTGTCCTTTGGTTTGCATTAAGTAGGTCCAAGTTGCTCTACTATAGTCATCAACCAAAGTAAGAAAATAATAAGCACCAGTTAAAGAAGGGGATTTATAAGGACCCCAAATATCAATATGAATCAACCAAGATTCGAGAAGACTAAATTTGTTTTATTGGAAATTTTAAACGTTGTTGTTTTGAAAGCGGACATACATGACATATCCTACTTTCAGTATTTCTATAGGAAAGTACATCCGGTTTGGAAATCACAAAGTCAGGGGCATGACCTAACCTATGATGCCAAAGTACATTATTGTTTGTGGAAGTAAAATTTGAAAAATGAAGCTGGCTGGTCTTGAGCTGTTGAACAAAAGGATGAGCAATGTGTGTTGATGTGAATTCATTAATGGTGCTTTGCTGAAATGAAGTGTGATCAAGATAGTAGAGCCTATTGAGGACCTTTCCAACCGCAACAAGTTGCTTAGTCTTCTGGTCCTGCAATAAGCAGAAGGTGGTGGAGAAGAAACAATCAATACGGGAGTCGGTGGCCAACTTATTTACTGATAATAGATTATACCTAAAGGCAGGAATGTGAAGACAGTCTGTGATTTTTAGATCATGTGATAATTTGACTGTACCAATGTGTTTAACACATTTGATACTGCCATCGGGTAAGGTTACTGGTGTATATTGTGTCATAGGTTTAAAACAGGCAAAAAGTGCAAGCAAAGCTACCATATGCCCTGTGGCTCCGGAGTCTAAAAACCAAAACCTAAGAAACTTATCCACAGTAGAACTAACAACATTAAGTGCAGTATAGTTAGTGATACCTGCGAAATCGTGGTAATGTGCAAAGTTGATCCTTTCCCCTTCCGACAGGTTCACCTTGCCTTTCATCATCTTCATCAAGTTGTTCATCAGGAGCATCATCTCTTCATTGTTGTTGCCAGTGGAACCAGACTTCTCCACATGTTGATCTACATTTGCTGATGTCCCAACCAGATTCGCTGATTGCTTTATTCCTGATAACTTCTTAGACTCTTCGTATTCTTCCCACCAATCAGGGTAGCCTACCAGCAGAAAACACTCATTCTTAAGGTGCCCATTCATCTTGCAGTGATCACACTTTAACAGTCTCTTGGCAGCTTTATCTCTTCTCATATCATTTTCTTTGCCAGATCCATGTGTAAACCTTGATGCACTAGACGTAGTACTACCTCCTCCTGATGAGACAGTTGTAATTCCTTGTGTTGGTCTTATTGTTGAAGACTCGTTTCTGTGCTAACATGGCACTCTGCTCTAGTGGTTCCACAAAAGTCTGATGCATCATTTGCTGTTTTTCCACATTTAGGACCATAGAATAGGCCTTTTTAACTTCAGACAACGAATCAAGCATAAGGATGTGGCTCCTTTGAGCACTATAGGAATCATTCAAACCACTAAGAAACCCCAGTAACTTGTGACGATTCTCTCTACCAGTATTTTTATTAGCATCACAAGTACAATCAGCAGCTGGATCTAAAAACATCAGTTCATTCCAAAGCCTTTTCAACTTAGAATAGTATGCACTTAAAGTCAAATTTCCTTGAGGAGATAGTTGCTATTTCTCTTCTCAAATGGTAAATCTATGGACCGTTCCTAGTTCCACAATTTTCTCTCAATTCTTCCTAGAGGTCATGAGCATTCTCAGCTAAATCATGATTATCAACTAATTCAGGTGAAATAAAGTTGAGAATCCAAGAGATTACCATATCATTGACGCGAAGCCATTGTTCCCGACCAGGATCTCCGACTTCCGGTATCTCTTCTGTACCGGTGATGAAGCCGGTCTTGTTTCTTGTCCCTAGAGCCCTTCGCATTGCGTGACTCCATGAGATATAGTTAATCTATGTCAACTTCGTCGGTATGATAACCAAGGACGAGTTGTCAGAAGGATGAAGCATCAATTGATGATGATAGCCTCCATAATTTGTAAGCTTTTGATCCTCTCGCCGCGATTCTTCACGGCGATTCTCTTGTCAATTCATAGCCATATCAAGTCTGTACAAACAATTCCTGTTCGCAATTTCCTAGGGTTTGAAGATTGACGAACCCTAGATCCCCAATTCTATTATGATCAAATTCCGATCAAGTATCAAAAAATGTTCGGCATAGAGAAGGACTAAGGTCTTGCTCAAATACCATCTAGAATCAGAGATTTGGATTTCAGTGGAAGCAAAAACAGAAAATTTGATAATCAAATCTGTGAATCTTGGAGAGAGAGAGAAGAACGGTTAAGACAAGTTTATTACCAGCCGAACAAAATTAAATTATAATGAATGTGGCCTTGGAGATTATATACAACTGATAACCGGCTAACCATAGAAGATCTAACTATTTACAAAATAGTCCCTAACCTTCTAAGTAATAACAGGCTATATAAAAATTAACTATACATCATCATTTATACACCATGTACTATGGTCCTTGATCTTGCAATGCTGTATCATCCGGCAATGATTCATGAGACATTTGTACAGATCTTAGGAACTAAATTGTGATGACATAGTTAATCAATTTTTTTTATTATTATTATTATTATTTTTTGTTTGAATGAGTGGAAATTGGTAGGAGAAGATCTACAAGTTTTAATATGAGAAGGTTGACACATTCTTTCCTTAAAATTATCTCTTTCTTCTTGTCCGTAATCTCTCCCTCTCCAACGTGATTAAGCAAAGGTTTCATCTCTTTGACTCTTTGCATTATGATGGTGTTGGAATTTAATCTTGAACCTACGTACATATATCTAAACTAGGTTTTAGTAAATAACATGTTTTTGATATCACCACAATACATTATACAACGTTGTGTTGGAATATACAACATTTGAACTATATGTTTTAGTAATATGATTGCCTTCGTACATATTGCTTTAATGATAGTGTTAGAATTTATCTACGACACGAACCAATGGTACTCAATAAAACAACGCTAGATGGTAAGGTCAAAGTTGACGTGATCAAAAGACTGAGTTAGTACAATCTCCGATACTTTGAATGCATTAGTTTAGTCTCATTTTCGTTTTTCTTTTAATTTTTTTGGTTGAAAAAAGGGAGTTTAAATTAGTTGAATCGAACTAAAATGCTGTAGGTGCTTCGAAGTTCAAACCATGTGATGTGCCTAAGTCTAATTACTGACAACGTGCTAATACGTTGACGTTTACTTCCAGTATTCCACGAAATTAAATAAATATGGAAGAGTGGGGGATCGAAATCGATGGTCAACACTCGAACAGTAGCTTCTTGTACCACAACTGGATAATAAAACTGCACCTTCGAAACCTTCCCCCGATGAAAAATTCTCCTTCGGTCCCACAAAAAGTAGTATATCTTGAGTTTTAAAATTTGTATAAGAAAAGTAGAACAAGTTTTAAAAATCAAATTTAATTATTTCGTTGGAACAGACGTAGTACAATGTAGACCGTTTTGTTTTTCAATAAAACAAATTATAAAAACCGAAATGAAATAGAATATTTTATAGAAGCATTTTGAGTAGGAAAGACAGCAAATTGCGGCGTACCAATTGCAAGAACGAAGACTTTTGCGTACCGTTGTTATTGGTACACAAACAAACGTTAATTAGCAAAGACTAGGAATGCAAATACTGCGGTTCTACGTAAAAATACAGAGAAAACAGCGGTTTCGTGGGAAAAAGGAAAAAAATATTGGCATTTTAATAAAACAAATTATAAAAACCGAAATGAAATAGAATATTTTATAGAAGCATTTTGAATAGGAAAGACAGCAAATTGCGGCGTACCAATTGCAAGAACGAAGACTTTTGCGTACCGTTGTTATTGGTACACAAGCAAAGGTTAAATAGCAAAAACTAGAAATGCAAATACTGCGGTAAAAATACAGAGAAACAGCGGTTTCGTGGGAAAAAAGAAAAAAATGTTGGCAGAAATAAAAGGTTCCGTTACCGGGAATCGAACCCGGGTCTCCTGGGTGAAAGCCAGATATCCTAACCGCTGGACGATAACGGATATTCCATAACTGTATGTTAATTATTTTATATAAATGAAATTAATAGCTTTTAAACTTCAAATACAACTTGCCGCGTAATGGTCTCTTCACTAACCTGAAACCGTCGGAAGGGACAGGTCATCAAAATGACAAAATCACCCGGCGGTGAACGACCGGTATCCATCCAGTGATGCTCACTGGAAGTATTTGCCTCATCCCGGCGCTGTCTGCGTAAGGAAGTCGGCTATGATAGTGAAAAACGTTGGAATTGTACGTTATAGGAAGACAATAATGTGTGGGCAAGCTTGATTTCAATAGCGCGGCCCACCAGAGGATTGCAAAGTAAGAAGGCAAGCACAAATCCACAATGTATAGTTAAGTATTATAACTCTAAAGCTTTACATTAGAAGACCAATATTGCAAATCAACATTTATTATGTGTCTTTCCTTTGTAACTCGTGTGTAAAGATGTACATTGGCAGAACAAAGAGATTGATTCATAAATCACGAGTACGTTTAAGAAAAAAAAGAAACACACACACACACAAAGCACAGATGATGATAAAGTTATAAACTGAAAGGAATCATTTATTGGGGCAGAGCCGAAATAATTAAGCAGCAAGTACAGGGATGCTCTGTTCATTCCGGAAGAAGTTCTGTGGATCAACTGCAGTCTTTATTTTCACCAACCTATCAAAGTTACCCTTGAAGTATTTCAATCCGTACACTTTGCCTTCATTATAACTGTTGGGTCCATTATCAGTTGTACCAATTTCGAGATCCCTGTAATTCAGAAAAGCCTGCCTTGGATTGCTTGACACATATGGAGTCATGAAGCTGTATAAGTCTCTCGCTTGCTGAAGATATTGAGTCGTCAGATTGGGATCAGCGCTATCCCAATTCACAGAATACTGGATCTTGTAAAGGATCCCGGCCCGATGGGGAAACGGCGCGTCGGTTTCAGGGATTTGGCTCATTTTTCCACCATAAGGATTGAAAACCAATCCTATTTTTCCAAGCTGAGTGATTTTGTTGAAGATTGCAGTGAATCCGGCCTTTGGAATCGGAGTCACGACGTAGTCGGATTTCCTCTTCAAGAAATTGACAGAAGGAGTTCTGTCCAGCAAAATTTCTGGTTTATCTGAACTCGACCTGAAATTTGCCCAGAACAGGATTGATTGGATCCAGCTCATTTGCTTCAAGTCAGAACTCTGTAATCCCAATTCAGGGAACTTGGCTTTCATCAGCGCCGCAAGACTCTTTGAATTTCCAACATACATTGCATTGAATGTCAATCGGATCATTTTCTTACCGCTTACGGTAGCCGGCTGGACGAGGACCCTGATGAAGAGATTGTTGTCAATGGTGGAAGCAATGCTTTGCCATTTGACAAGAATGTTTGTAGCATTCTGTGCCTCAGTCCTCTGGACACTAAAAACAGTGACAAATGGAGGAACTGGAACTAAATTGATCTTGTATGACAAAACAACTCCGAAACTCGCACCGCCACCGCCCCTGATAGCCCAAAACAGATCTTCTCCCATCCCTTTCCGATCCAAAACACGGCCGTTAACATCAATGATCTGTGCATCAACAACATTGTCGACTGTCAGGCCGAATTTGCGCAGCATTGTGCCGTAACCACCCCCGCTGATGTGTCCACCAACCCCGACAGTCGGGCAAACACCGGCAGGGTACGCCAAAAGATTGCTCTTTTGCCAAATTCTGTAGTACAATTCACCAAGTGTTGCCCCTGTTTGTACCCAAGCCGTCCGACCGGGTTGGTCAATGCTGATGTTCCTGAGATTGAACATGTCAAGAATAACAAAAGGGTTGTCCGAAACATACGAAATTCCTTCATAATCATGCCCGCCACTACGGATTTTCAGTTGCAGCCCTGACCCTTTGGTGCAAATTATAGTTGCCTGAACTTGTTGAACTGTTAATGGTGTGACAATTATGGATGGCTTTTTGGTACTTGAAGTGTTGAATCTTAAGTTTCTAACATATGCATTTAGAACAGAACTAAATGAAGTGTTTGTGGGACTGTAGAGAATTTTGGATATTTGGTTACTTGGAACTCCATTTTTTGTCAGACAATTGGCAAAACTGTCGAATGTGGAATCCGCAGATGAAGAAGTAGGAAGTGAACTGAATATGGAGGCAAAGAAAAGTAGAGAAATACAAAGAGCCAAAACGTTCTTCATTGTAGGTATCAGTTGGCCGGGGATATATTGTACACTTTGTAGTGAGTTAAGAGCACATGTATATATACTGTAATGTCCATTGCAGTTGCAGATGGAAATAGGATAAGGCAAATAAGAAATTATCAACTTGGTTTTTCTCAATTTGATTCTTTTGACCGAAAATTTTAGTAAATTGCAATAAGGTTTGGCACGTCAAAGTGGATGCTTCCACGAAAAAGATAAGATGATCTACGTATATTTTATTAGAGTTTCTAATCAAGCTGCCATGTGTATGTCAATGGAATAACAAGATAAGAACATAATTATTAGGTTGTCAATTAACCGCTCTCTTTTAAAAAAGAAATAAATAAATAAATAATAAAAAAATCTCTTGATGCGTACTAAGTACTCACTATCTATATATCTATCGATACTAACCATGCCTTGTATTGCTTTAGCTTGTAAGCAACCATGTACAGCACGAGATAATGTTATCTTTCCTTTTTTTTTTCTTTTTTCTTTTTTATACACTACACACAAAATGTTTGAAATTATTGTCTTGATTGATCCAAAAACGAGTCTAAAAAATCAGGAGATTAAGGTCTCCTAACAAATATTTTACTTATAGTTATTGCATATCATATCATGGTTTGAGTCCAGATTTAAAATAATGTCAGTTTACTAATGACTGGTGAGATTGTAGTGAAATACACTATTTCATTTACGGGAATGGAGGGTTTACTTTCAGTAACATGTCATGGACATTATTAGTTTAATAATGGTCGCATAAGCATGGCAGTTTAATTACTACATTTAATACACTTAACAATGCTTTGACGCTTTACCAAGTTTTGTAGTTAAGACGTAGCTGGTACTCCTGCAACGCGCTAAAACGTGAGCTATTTTGAACAAGTCAGAGGGATCGGCCCAGACGGAAAATCTGATTCTTTTTGTTTTCTCTCTCATTTCTTTTTTTTTTTTTTGGTGAAAAGAAAATGTAATTATAAATAATAAACTTTTCACAAGTGGCGTTTGTTCCTTAACTCTTTTAAAAAGGATGTTCTTATATCTTCTTCCTCTTAGAAGTTTATCCCCGGGGAAATTATTCAAACAATACACAACTTAATAACTCTCGCCTAAGAGATTAAATCAGTAGTGTTTTAGTTACGCATTGGTTATTACCATATATGTACAAAGAAAGAGACACAAAGACATAAATCATACTCTATTTAGTCCTAAATTAACGTCCAGTTTAATTTTTTTACTTTTAGTTCAATTTATATTAAAAGTGAAATTTGAAGTAAAAATTTCACGACGGAGGGAAGAAGTTAAACCTCTATATCATGATTTAACTATTCCGCAACCAATACAATCATCAACAATTCACTCTATAGACAAATGTTTTTCCAATTCTCACTTCCTTTCCACCAACTGTTTTTAATCGCAAAATGAGAACAATGTGAAGATGTTCTACAAAATGTTAAAATTATGGACCTCTGCGATAAAGTTTTCACGTTCAAATCTCCCATGCACACGCAATAGTGAGGCTTGTCATGCATTAACTTCAAAATTAACTCCGCTTCAGTTATTGTTCAGGATCCAATATTCACCGGGAATATTGAATCAAGGACTACACCCCTGCTGAAGTTCACCTTCACCTTCGTTCTCCGGCTGCGATGACCTGTTTATCATCCGGTTCTCCTGTCCCCTCAAGTACTACCTTACGTATTGATTTCTCTCTATATGTTCCTCTCCGTAGTCGATGCAAGGTTTGCAATCTACCCATGAAGTCTACCATTCCCTTGAAATTTCTTAATTCCGAATGAAAGATTTATAGTTTTGAGTACTACTGGAATGCCAAATGATTGTAATGAGTTTGAGCTGTTTATCCTCTTCTTTATGTAATTTTAAAACGTATTTCTACTTGTAAGGAAACGGAAAACAAAAATCATAGTACATGCAGATTAATGAATGTACGGAACTCCTAAGATACAATAATTAATAAGTACTACTGTATAATTTAAAAATAATGTCTTCCATGTGCGTTGCTCAAGGACGTGAATTATTCGACTGACACGTTTGGGTCACTTACCTTTGTGCTAATTTTCATTTTTGTGTGACAGATTTTTATTAGTGGATACAAATTTGATAATTATATGCATATGCACAGTTACTATCTTGCCACTTATTTCTTCATTGATATTGAATTTTTCTTTTTTTTCCCCCTTTTTTTTCTGGTTTAGATTGAGAGTTAATCATGTTGAATAATTCTCTAGCTATGATAGTTTCCTGATTCGAAACGTGATATTCGAATGAATTTATGAGCTACGTTGTTTATATTCAAGACTACGAAGTCGAACGAATTTCCTCAACAAAAGGGAAAAAAAAAAAAAAGAAGAAGAAAGAAGTCGAACGACGAATGTATGAGTTAGATTCTAATTTCCGACATGATGTTCCAAATGCCTGTCAGCATGTGCGGGAGAGCAGCAGGAGTTTGCATTTTTGGCCAGCAGATTGTGAAGGGACCTGCTCGGAATTAATTCACCCATGTTGTTGCTCCTGATTTAGAAGAATCGCTAGCTATTCATGAAGCTTTGTAAATGTTTTAGTGGTCAAAGGAAATTATGGGATGTTGATCTTTGTCTAAACCATGGTATCATATAGTAAATCACTTGGAAGACATTGTAGCGGATCCGTTTTTACACTCAGCTTCAAAATTTATCACTCTTTTTGCCTCAAAGAAAGAAATAGTCCTTTTTGTCGTAGCGGAAAGGGTATAAACACAATAGACCAGCGGAAACGATTCCCAAGAAAAACTTCTTTCCTTATACTAATAAAATAGGACAACCAACTAAACAAGTAAATAATTCAAGAACTGATAAAATAAAAGAGGCACACAGATTTATGTGAATACCCAAATTGGGAAAAACCACGGGACTGTAACAACAGTCAAATCTCCACTATCACAATAATGAGAAACAATCTTCACTAACCGGTGGATACAAAGGACTTCACCCAAAGGTGGATTACAATAATACTCTTTCATACACACCTATCAGAAAGTAAGACCGAAAGGATCTAACCAAAAGAGAGTTAAAGTGAAAACTAAATTGGAGGATTTGTAGATTTTGTTGAGAGGAACACACATGCAAACTTGCACCAATAACTGAGTCTGTTTCGTCACCCGATCAAAGCCTTAAATTGAAACACTTTCTTCTCGCAACATCAAAAAATCCCAGAACTAGCTTTTCTCTTCTTTTTTTTCTCGCACAAAATCCTTGCGCGGCTGCCCTAATTTTCCTTCTCTCTCGGTTAAAAAACATGCACAAATTGTGCACAAATCCTTACTTTTATAGGGATCAAATACAAAACCAAAACCCAATAGAAGTGGGTTTTCTTTTCTCGGTCAAACACCCCAAAACCAAAGTCTAGTTAGGCTTGATCTTATTTTTCCTTGTTGTTGCTGGCCCAATTAAGGGGAACAACCAGCCCAACACTTTTTATATGGACGGAAGGAGTTTTTACGATGATTGAAAATTATTTTTGTGAATGGGATAGCATGTTTTTTCACATATTCAAGACAACTATATATTATGCACAACATAAAACTAATATATTTTTCAGTCGTAAATTATCATAAGCATCTGAACAAAGTACAGCTGATGGAGGCCAGCTGTTCCACCCATTGAGTTGCCTACAATTGAGGGACTGGAACTAATTTGATCTTGTATGACAAAACAACTCAAAAACTCGCACCGCCCTCGCCACTGATTGCCCAAAATAGATCTTCTCCCATCCCTTTCCAGACCAAAACCTTGCCACTAACAGTAATGATCTGTGCATCGAAAACATTGTCGACAGTTAGGCCGGATTTGTGCAACATCGGACCGTAACCACCGCCACTGATGTGTCCACCAACACCTATTGTAGGGCAAACGCCGGCAGGGTAGGCGAAAACATTGTTCTTTTTCTAAATTCTATAGTACAATTCAACTAGTGTTGCCCCTACTTGTACCCATGCAGTTTGGCTCGGAATATTGACATTGATGTTCCTAAGATTGAACATGTCAAGAACAACAAAAGGGTAGGCTGAAACATACGAAATGCCTTCAATCGTGCCCGCCACTTCGGATTTTCAATTGCAGCCCTGATCCTTTGGTGCAAATAATGGTTAGCTAAGCTTGTTGAACTTGTAATGGCGTGACAATTATGGATGGCTTTTTGGTACTTGAAGTGTTGAATCTTTGGTTCCTAAGATACACATTTAAAATAGAATTAAATGAAGTGTTTGTGGGACTGAAGAGAATTTGGGATATTTGGCTACTTGGGACTTCATTTTTGGTAAGACAAGTGGCGAAATTGGCGAATGTGGATGACGAAGTATGGATTTGCAAGGTGCCTTAGGACGGGCGGCAACAATGATCTAGGCGGCGACAGACAGCCTAAAACCTGCAAGACAGAGCCTCGGGTGTCTCCCGAGGGTAGATTCTCCGATACTTAAGTCAATAACGGAATAAAGATAATAGAGAGAGAGGGATGTGTATTGTGTGTAGAAGGTATAGAAAATAGGTAGAAGATATGAATTATGAGAGAGGCACAACCTCTTTATATAGAGGTGGTGTTACCTTTTTCCTGAAACCCTAGCGGAATAGGTTTAGGCGGTGGCTTAATCTCCAAGTAATCTAATCCTAGGCCCAATAGGCCTAGGGTTAATTTATGACTCGTTAAGTGCCCCTAGAAAGCCATATTCTTGAGACTTGATGAGAGGAATTTGGGTTGCTACGAGTGTTGATGTTTCCTCCAGTTTCGTAGTGTTGCGCCAGTTCTCGAACTCTTTCGTTCTCGGTGTCACCTATATAAGATAAAGAGAGATAGAATGCCTTGAAGAGGTCTTTGTGTTAGAGAGTTCCTTAGTTGCGCGGTGGACCGTGAGTATCCTTGTGTGCGCGGTGGACCGCGAGTGTTTGGATCATCGAGATGTAATATTATATAATAATGACATGTAGTGTAAGATGCTCGTG